GACATTCTACCCAAAATCCACTGACTATACGTTCTTCTCATCAGCTCACGGGACATTCTCTATGATTGACCATATCCTAGACGCAAAGTAAATCTCAACAGAATTTAAAAAATAGAAATCATACATGTACTTCTCAGATCACAGTGGAATAAAACTAAGAAATCAACCCTAACGGAAACTCACATTTCTACACAAAAAAGTGGAAATTAACCAACCTCCTACTAAATGATCTATCATAAATGAAGAAATCAAGACGAAATAAAAAATTCTATGAAACAAACGACAATGGAGAGACAAGTTATCCAACTCTCTGGGACACAGCTAAAAGCAGTTCTGAGAGGAAAGTTTATCTCATAAATGCCTATACCAAATGACAAAAAGATCACAATACACATTCTAATGAAACGACTCAAAGAGCTGGCAAAAGAAGAACAGACAACCCAACCCACCAGAAGAAGTGAAATCAACAAGATCAAATCGCACCTAAACGAAATTGAAAACAGGAAGCTATTCAGAGTTAATAAAACAAAAGTTGCTCTTTGAAAAAATAAACAAATGGACACACATGCTAAGCTAATAAAGGCAGAAAAGAGAAATCTCTAACAAGTCCATCAGGAATAAAAAAGGAGATATCACAACTGATCCCAAAGAGATACAAGATACAATTATGAATACTACAAAAATCTTTATGCACACAAACTGGAAAATGTGGAGGAAATGGACAAATTTCTAGAAACACACAGCCTCCCTAGGCTCAACCAGGAAGAAATAGATTCCCTGAACAGACCAATCTCAACAGCTGAAATGAAACAGCAATTAAAATCTCCCTAAAAAGAAAGTCCCAGTCCCAGATGGCTTCACACCCGAATTTACCACACTTACAAAGAGAACTAGTACTATCTTGCAGAAACTATTCCACAACATCGAGAAGAACGGAAACCTCCCCGACACTTTTATGAAGCGAACTACTCTGATAACCAAACCAGGAAAGGATGCAACAAAAAAGAAACTACAGACAATACCTAATGAATATAGATGCAAATTTTCAACAAAATCTTAGCTAACCAACCCAGAAACACTTATCAAAAAATAATCCACACGACCAAGTGGGCTTCATCCCAGGGATGCAGGGATGGTTCACATAGTAATCTATAAATGCAATTCACCACATAAACAGAAGCAAAAACAAAGACCACATGATTCTTTCAATAGATGCAGAAAAAGCTTTTGCAAAATTCAACACCCTTTCATGATACTAACACTTAGAAAAATAGGCATAGAAGGGACATAACTAAAAATGATACAAGCCATATATGACAGACCCATAGCCAACATCATACTGAATGGGAAAATTGAAATCATTCCCACTTAGAACTGGAACCAGACAAGGCTGCCCACTATCTCCACTTCTGTTCAACATAGTGCTGGAAGTCTTGGCTACAGCAATCAGACAGGAAAATGGAATCAAAGGTATCCAAATAGGGGCAGAAGAGATCAAACTTTCACTGTTTGCTGATGATATGATATTGTATCTAGAAAACGCTAAAGATTCAACCAAGAAACTCCTGGAACTGATCAATAATTTAGTAAAGTCTCAGGATACAAAATCAATACACAGAATCAGAAGCATTCATATCGCCATATTCAATCTAATTGAGAACCAAATCAAAGACTCAATTCCCTTCACAATAGCGACAAAGAAATTAAAGTACCTAGGAATATACTTAACCAAGGAGGTAAAAGACCTCTACAGGGAGAACTATCTCATCAGGATAGAAAGAGCAGAGGATGTAAACAGATAGAAATCCATACCATGCTGGCGGGTCGGCAGACTCAACATCATTAAAATATCTATACTTCCCAAACTGATCTACACATTCAATGAAATACCTATTAAAATCCCATCAGCATTCTTCACAGATATAGAAAAAACAATTTTATGCTTCATGTGGAACCAAAGAAGACCCTGTATATCAAAAGTAATTCTAGGCAACAAAACAAAATGGGAGGCATTAATATGCCAGATATGAAACTATACTACAAAGCTGTAGTAATTAAAAAATATGATGGTATTGGCACAAAAATAGGAATATGGACTAGTGGAACAGATGTGAGATCCTGATATAAAACATCCTCTATAGCCATCTAATCTTTCAAAGCAGACAAAAACATATGCTGGGAAAAGAATCCCTTTTCATAAATGGTGCTGGGAAATTATATATGCCACCTGTAGAAGGCTAAAACAGGACCCACACCTTTTACCTCTCACAAAAATCAACTCACGCTGGATAACAGACTTAAACCTAAGATATGAAACTATTAGAATTCTAGAGGAAAAAGTTGGAAACACTCTCCTAGACATCGGCCTGGGCAAAGAGTTTATGAAGAAGTCCCCAAAGGCAATCACAGCAGCAACAAAAATCAATAAATGGGACATGATCAAACTACAATGCTTCTGCATAGCCAAAGCAATAGTCATGAAAGTAAACAGACAACCTACAGAATGGGAGAAAATTTTTGCATCCTATGCATCCGATAAGGGGCTGATAACTAGAATATACTTAGAACTCACGAAAATCAGCAAGACAACATCAAATAACTCTATTAAAAAGTGGACAAAGGACTTGAACAGAAACTTGCTAAAGAAGACAGAAGAATGGCCAACAAACATATGAAAAAATACTCAACATCTCTAATCATCACGGAAATGCAAATCAAAACCACAATGAGATATCACTTAACTCCAGTGAGAATGGCCTTTATCAAAAATTCCCCAAATAACAAATGCTGGCGTGGATGCGAAGAGAGAGGAACACTCCTACACTGCTGGTGGGACTGCAAACTAGTTAACCTCTGTGAAGCACATATGGAGATACCTTAAAGCAATACAAGTGAATCTATCATTTACTCAGCAATTCCATTGCTGGCATCTACCCAAAGAGCTCAATGACACTACACAAAAGCACCTACACTCGAATGTTTATAGCAGCACAATTCATAATTGCAAGCCTGTGGAAACGCCCAAGTGCCCATCAATCCAAGAATGGATTAATAAAATGTGTATATTGTATACAGGAGTACTATTCAGCTCTAAGAAACAATGGTGACATAGCACATCTTATATTTTCCTGGTTAGAGCTGGAACCCATACCATTAAGTGAAGTTTCCAAAGAATGGAAAAACAAGCACCACATATACTCACCAGCAAATTGGTATTAGCTGAACAGCACCTAAGTGGTCACATAGGTACTACAGTAATAGGGTAGTGGGCAGGTGGGAGGGAGGAGGTGGTATATATATTATATAATGAGTGAGATGTGCACCATCTGGGGGATGGACATGATGAAGGCTCAGACTTATTGGAGGAGGGGGGAAATGGGCATTTATTGAAACCTTAAAATCTGTATCCCCATAATATGCTGAAATAAAAATAAATAAATAAAAATAAAGAAATATAGGTTTAGGTAAAATGGCCAAATATAAGATTCATAGGCATCTCTGAGGGTGAAGAAGAAAATGCACAAGGGCTGGAAAACCTATTTGAGGGAATAATCCAGGAAAATTCCCTGGTCTTACTAGAGATTTAGATGTACAGGTACAAGAAGCTCAATGAACACCTGGGAGAGTCATTACAAAGAGGCAATCACCAAGACACACAGTCATCAGACTGGCCAAAGTCAACATGAAGGCGGAACTCCTGCAAGCCATAAGGAAAAAATATCAAGTAACTTACAAGGAAAACCCATCAGGCTAACTACAGACTTCCCAACTGAGACTTTATAAGCAGAGGGGATTGGGGTCCCATCTTCAGTTTTCTTAAACAGAACAACTGCCAGCCTAGAATTTTGTATCCTGCAACACTAAGTTTCTGATATGAAGAGGAAATAAAGGCTTTTCCAGACAAGTAAATACTGAAGAAATTTGTCAAGACTCAGAAATTCATTATGCATGGATCAGCACAATAGACACCCACCAGTGTAAAACTGCCCAAAAGCTAAAGCTCAGAGTTCATACAAAACAACAGTACAAGAGGTAAAACAAAATAATAAAGTACTACCCCACAGGATGAATAGAACAGCATCTTATTTATCAATTCTATCAATCAACGTGAATGGTTTGAATTCCTCACTCAAGAAACATAGGCTTGCTGAATGTATAAAAAAATACAATTCAAGTATCTGCTATCTCCAGGAAACACATGTAACCCACAAGGACTCATATAGACTCAAGGTGAAGGGTTGAAAAAAATAGTCCCTGCAAATGGAAATCAAAACAAAGCAGTGTACCCATTCTCATATCAGACAAAATTGACTTTAAATCAAAAATAGTAAAGAAAGACAAAGATAGTCACTATATAATGGTAAAAGGAGAAATTCAACAAGACATAACAATCTTAAATATTTATGCACCTAACGCAAGAGCATCTAGATTCATAAAGCAAACCCTACTAGTCTAAGGAAAGAGATAAACATCAGCATCATAATGGTGGGGGGATTCAATGCCCCAGTGACAGATCTGGACTGATAATCCAAGCAGAAAATAAATAAACACTGGACTTAAACGGGACTCTAGAACAAACGGTCTTAACAGATATTTTACAGAACATTTTACCCCAAAATTACTGAACATACATTCTTCTCATCAGCACATGGAACATTCTCAAAGATTAATCGTATTTTAAGCCACAAAAAATGACTCAACAAATTCAAAAAAACAGAAATCATATCATGTATCTTCTCAGACCACAATGTAATAAAACTTGAAATCAACTCCAAAAAAAAAACAACACTCAATTCTACACAGTCATGGAAATTAAACAACCTGCTGCTGAATGATTATTGAATCAATGAAGAAATTAAGATGAAAACCAAAAGATTCCTCAAATTGAATGACAAAGAGGACACAAACTATCAAAGTCTGTGGGATTTAACAAAAGCAATCATAAGGGTAAAATTCGTAGCCTTAAATGCCTACATCAAAAAGACAGAGAGGAGTTCTTTACCAAGGCTAGGAAAGTAACCTGAGGAAAATGTGATCCTTCTGGATGCCCACCAAGCCGAGAAGTCCTCACAGCGCACTGTCATCTTCGCTGAGCTCTGGGGCAGAACTACCACGCACTTCCAGACCCAGCAAGATCCAGGCCTACTGCCAAAACTAAGGCAGTGACCTGCCCACTCACCACTACGGCGCGTGGACCAGGCTCTACTGCGATGTTTTACCTGGCTGCGGCCGTGTCAGATTTCTATGTTCCTGTTTCTGAAATGCCTGAACACAAGATCCAGTCATCTGGGGGCCTACTGCAGGTGATGGGCGCTTCTCTTCCAGAGATCTGATCCCCTATAACCAATCTTGGGTTAATTTTCTCTTGATCTGGAGATGGCCTTTCTGCATCTGTATGCGCTAGGCTCTGGGGATACAGAGATGAATAAGACACCGTCCTCCCTCATGGACCTCACAATCTAATGAGGGAGCTGGACACAGACATAATTACAATACAGAGTGATAAATGCTCTAGTGGAGATAACAATGAAGATGGTGCCAAAAATGCTTTCTCCTTTGGTTAAAGATTGGGCTCCCAAGGCATTTATAATTTCTTTTAAGTTGGAGACTGATCCCTCCATTGTAATTAATCGTGCTTGGAACGCTTTGGAAATTTATCAACATCAAGTGGTGGTGGCTAATATCCTTGAATCACGACAGTCCTGTGTGGTTATCGTAACCAAAGACTCAGAAACCAAGTTATTGCTATCAGAGGGAGAAGTAGGAAAAGGCATAGAGATAGAAGAGAAGATAGTGGATAATCTTCGATCTCGACACACAGCCTTTATATGTGAAAAAAACTGAAGTAAAAGCCCTTATAGGGTCAAATATTATTCAGGGCTCTTATAGCTGGTGAGAACTATAATAAATCCTTTGCTTTCATAAGGACAGAGAAAATGAAGGAAAGGGAAAAAGTGATGTGCAAATATAGTTTGGTATTTTATCTTTTAATGACCAAACCACCTGACACATTCACCTGAATGTCATCTTGATTTTGAAATTGAACACTAGAGCTGTTTCTCACCTTTAACAAAAGAGCTTATTGGGAATTATATATTCCTCCAAATCTACATGGGGGCCTGAATATCAGCCTTCTTCATACTACAAAAAGAGGATTATGGATGCATGAGTGGTCATGCTTTGAAGATCAAATATTTGTTGAGTGCCTACTATGTGTTAAGTCCTATGATGAGCTATGAGGATTAAAACAATGAATAAACATGTCTTGTTTGGGAAATGGATGTATAAAAAAATACAATAAAGTGTGTGCCCAAAAGCTGCAAAAAAAAAAAAGAAAAAGAAAAAAAAGACAGAGAGATCCCAAATTAATAATCTAATTACATATTTCAATGAACTAGAAAAATAAGAGCAATACAATCCCAAACCCAGCAGAAGAAAACAAATAACTAAGGTCAGAAGAGAGCTAAATAAAATCAAAACCAAGAAACTATACAAAAGAACAATGAAACACAAAGTTGGTTCTTTGCAAAAATAAACAAAATCCGTAGGCTCCTTGCTATATTATCCAGGAACAGAAGAGAAATGACCCAAATAAGCTCAATTATAAATGAGAAAGTGTTGATCAATTAGTACCAATTTAATGGTGAATACATGTGGTGATTGTTTTTCCATTCTTGTGATACTTCACTTCGAAGGATGGACTCCAGCTCCATCCAGGATAATAAAAGATGTATTAGTTCACAATTGCTTACTTATGTGTACATATGGAAGTAATAATCATTGGGTATTGAGCAAGTGGGAGGGGAGAGGAGGGAATGGGTAAATTGACACCTAATGGATGCGGCGTATAGTTTCTGGGGAATGGGAATGCTTGTAGCTCTGACTCGGGCAATGCAAAGGAAACATATGTAACCAAAGTGTTTGTGTCCCTATAACATTCTGCAATTTAAAAAGTAAATGAATAAATGAAACTTATGAGGACTTGAAAAAAAGAGGAGATTTGACAACTGGTACCACAGAAATACAAAATATCATCTGCAAATAACATGAAAATCTCTACGCCCATAAACTCAAAAACATAGAGGAAAAGGACAAATTCCTGGAAACACACAACCCTCTAAGACTAAAGCAGGAAGAAACAGAATTCCTGAAGAGAACAATAAGGAGCAACAAGATTGAAGCAGCAATAAAAAAAAAAAAAATCTTCCAACAAAGAAAAAGCTCCAAACCAAATGGTTTCACAGGAGAATTTTACCAGACCTACAAAGAAGAGCTGGTACCCATACTGCAGAAAGAATTCCATAACATCAAGAAGGAGGGAATCCTCCCCAATTCATTCTATGAAGCCAGTATCACCTTGATACCAAAGCCAGGAAAAGACACAACAACAACAAAGAAAGAAAACCATAGACCAATGCCTTTAGGAATATAGATGTAAAAATCCTCAATAAAATACTAGCAAACAAAATTCAACAGAACATAAAAAAGAGATAATCTACCATGACCAAGTGGGCTTCATTCAAGGGATGCAAGGATAGTTCAGTGTATATAAATTTAGAAATGTGGTTCACCACATAAACAAAAGCAAAGACAAAGATCATATGATTATCTCAATAGATGCAGAAAAAGCATTCAACAAAATTCAGCACCATTTCATGAAAAAAAATCCCTCAACAAACTTGGCATATAAGGAACATATCACGAAATTATAAAAGCCATATTGACAAAACCACAGCCAGCATCATATTGAATAACAAAAAGTTTAAATCATTCCCACTAAGAACTGGAACAAGACAAGGATGCCCATTATCACCACATCTATTCAACATAGTCATGGAAGTCCTAGCCAGTACAATCAGGCTAGAGAAAGAAATTAAGGGTATCCAAATCAGGAAATAGGAGGTCAAATTATCACCTTGTGCTGACAATATGGCCTTATATCTAGAAAACCCCAAAGACTCCACCAAGAGGCTCAGGTTACAAAATCAATGTACACAAATCAGTAGTGTTTCTATACACCGATAACAGTCAAGCTGAGAGTCAAATCAAAGTCTCAATACCATTCACAATGGCTACAAAGAAAATAAAATACCTAGGAATATGCTTAACCAACAAGGTTAAAGATCTTTACAAGGAGAACAGCAAAACACTGAGGAAAAAATTGCTTATGATCCACACAAATGGAAAAACATATCATGCTCATGGATTGATAGAGTCAATATTGTTAAAATGTCCATACTTCCCAAAGTGATTTACAGATTCAATGCACTCCCCATCAAAATATCAATGTCATACTTCACAGATACAGAAAAAATAATTCTATGCTTTGTTTGGAACCAGAAAAGAGCCCAAATAGCAAAAGCAGTATTAAGCAAAAGGAACAAATCTGGAGGCATCACAGTATCAGACTTCAAACTATAATACAAGTCTATAGTAACCAAAACAATATGGTCTTGGCACAAATATAGAGACATAGACAAATGAAACTAAACAGAAAACCCAGACATAAAGCTGCACATACATCCAACTGATCTTTGACAATGCAAACAACAAGATACACTGGGGAAATAAATCCCTGTTCAATAAATGGTGCTGGGAAAATTGGATAGTCATATGCAGAAGAATGAAACAGGATCCATATCTCCCAACACTCACAAAAACTAATTCAAGATGACTAAAGGACTTAAATGTAAGGCATAAAACTGTAAGAATTCTAGAAGAAAATGTTGAAAAACTATCTAGATATTGGTCCAGGCAAAGAATTCATGAAGAAGATCCCAATGGCAATCACAGCAACAACAAAAATAAATAAATGAGACTTGATTAAATGTAAAACTTCTTGATTAAAGTTAAAACTTCTATCAACAGAGCAAATAGACAACCTATTGTCTATTGGGAGAAAATATTCACAACTATACAACTGATAAAGAACTAACAACCAAAATCTACAAAGAACTCAAGCAAATCAGCAAGAAAAAAAAAATCAAATAACCCCACTAAAAAGTAGGCAAAAGACATAAAAAGAAGCTTCTCTAAAGAAGATAGACTAATGGCCAATAAACATATGAAAAATGCTCCATGTCACTAATCATCAGGGAAATGGAAATTAAAACCACAATGAGAGATCACCTTACCCCAATCAGAATAGCTTTTATTAAAAAGTTCAAAAACAAGGATGCAAAGAGAAAGGAACAGTGTTGGTGGGACTGCAAATTAGTACAACCTCTGTGGAAAACGGTATGGAGATTCCTCAAAGAACTAAAAGTAGACCCACCATTAGATCCAGCAATCCCACTATTAGGTATCTACCCAAAGGAAATGAAGTCATTTTATCAAAAAGATACCTGCACTCAATTGTTTAATGCAGCATAATTCACAATTGCAGAGATGTGGAATCAAGCCAAGTGTCCATCAATTTATGAGTGGGTTAAGAAAATGTGGTATATGTATACCATGGAGTACTACTCAGCCATGAAAAAGAATGAATTCATCCCTTTTGCAATAATTTGGATGGAACTGCAGATCATTTTCCTAAGTGAAGTATCTCAAGAATGGAAAAACAAACACCATGTGTATTCACTATTTAAAAAAAATTTTTTTTGTATTCACTATTAAAGTGGAACTAACTGATGAGCACACATGTCTATACAGGGAAATCAATTGGGGATGAGGAGGGGATGGGCAAAAACCTACTTACCTATCAGGTACAATGAACACTATCTGGGTAATGGGCACACTTATAATCCTGACTCAAGCATTACAAAAGTGATCCTTGTAACCAAAAACATTTGTACCTCCATAATACTTTGAAATTAAAAAATAAAATGTTTTAAAAATTCTCCAGTTTATTCAAATAATCCAAGAATGTTGTGCTGCTTATGTGCATATGTTATGCAAATCATTTTTTTTAGTTTTAATTTTATTTTATTTCTCAGATAAAATTTTTATAAGATTGAACACATTTTTTCCTATTCTTAATTCTTAGGATTTTATCCAAATATGAATACCTGAATATTGAATTTTTTGATCTATTGGAATACATATTTTTCCTTTATTCTGTTAATGTGGCAACTTATAGTAATTATTTTTTTGAATGGTAATCCAAACTTGTGTTTTGGCACTGATATTCCAGTTCATGAATTTGTTCTTCTATTTTAAAATGATACTAGATCGATCTTTTTAGCTCCAAGTTTCATGTATTATGTTACTCAGTTTTAGAATTTCCATTTGACATTTTTCATAATACAGAGTTCTCTGATGTAATTAAAATCACATCATCTAATTTCTGGCATGTATAAGCCACACACATTTTAAGACCTGTGCCTTATAATTCTGAAATCTGAAACTCCTATAGGTATATTGTATGGTTTATCTTTCACTTTGTTTTCAATTAGGCAGCCTTATTTCCTGGTAAGCTTGATAATATTTGAATGCTGGATATTATATATGAAAAATTGTCTGACTTATTTTTTTTCTTTTTTTATTTATTTATTTCATCATATTATGGAGGTAAAAATATTGTTAGGGTTACAAATATTGCCCCTGTCCCCCCTCCCCCCGTTGTGTCCAATCCCCTGGTGGTGTGCATCACACACATTATGGAAGCATACACCCCTTTCCTCCTCCCCCCTACCGCCTGCCCACCACCCAATAAAAAGTTTTGTTTTGATTTTTTTTTGACATTTTGGTTACATTGTGTATCTTTGCCTCTCCCTAAGAAGGGTTGAAGTTATGCCCTTCCCCTCCAAAATACTCACCACCTCCCTAAGATTGGGTACCCCCCGCAATCCCTGGTGAGCATTGCCACCATTTGAAAACCATAGTTTTAATCAGTCAGTACCAATTTGATGGAGAGTAGATGTAGAGCCCATTTTCCATGTCTTGTGTCACCTCACTTTGGATAACAGGCTTAAGCTTAATCCAGGATAGCATAAACGGTGCTAGCTCACTGTCATTTCTTAGGATTGAGTAAATATTCCATTGTGAACATATACCACATTTTAATTATCCACTCATGAATTGATGGGATCTTGGATCTTGGGTTGTTTCCATGACCATGCAATAGTGAATTGTGCTGCTATAAACATTCGGGTGCAGATGTCTTTATAATAGAATGTCTTATGCTCTTTTGGGTAGATGCCCAACAATGCTATTGCAGGGTCGAATGGTATTTCTATTTCTAGCTGTTTGAGGTATCTCCAAATTCTTTTCCACAAAGGTTGCACTAATTTGCAGTCCCACCAGCAGTGTAATAGTGTTCCTGTCTCTCCCCATCCTCGCCAGCATTTGTTGTTTTGGGGTTTCTTGATATAGGCCATTCTT